AGCCAAATTAAGGTCAACTAGGACAGACAGGAAAGCTTCAGGCTTGTTCATATACCATTACAATAAAGTCAGCTTTGAATATTCCTCTAAGCTTGAACAATAATTTAGTGTTTCTTAAATAATGTGGTTATATCTTGAATGCTTTTATACACATATGTATCTTATCCATTACATATATATATACAATTTATTATCAATGAATTTATATACTCAGTAACATACAGTAGTAAGAGCTTAGACATTTCTATAATCTTCAAAAACCAGTGACTCATGGATGCATATGTGTAGTTAGTTTCATGTTAGAAGTTTTGGGCAGTGATGCATATTTCATGTCTCAGACTTGAATATTTAATTATATGTAAATTCCAAAATTGTTACTTGCAATGTACTATAGAAGTATTTGTAGAAGGAAAGGTACAATAATAAATTATTTATTTTATTTCAGATACTTATGAGAGATCACTTTGCAGTTAAGAACATTTGTTTTAAGATCTTTTGGTTTTCTCGTTTAAAATCTGTTATTTTCATCTCAGGATAATCCTTGACAAAGAGCTGAAGTTAAATAAGTTGTTCAATGTTTGAAATTTCCTTGATATTCAAAGTTCATACATTTTTATACCCATGAACTACTTTAAGGATAGAGAATTTGGGTTTTTATGAAAAATGTAAAACATTTGTTGAAGTTTGTGACTGATATTTCAGTTTGAATTACAAATAGTAATAAATGTGTAAGTAATACTGAAGTTACTGTACATACAGCATGTACATTTTCAGTCATTCAGAAACTAATATCAGATTTCTTTCAATACACTTGAGATTTATTGAAAGACAGAAAAATTCTAATAAACATTGATATTGAAGTGTGTTTTTGTTGTCCATTTTTCCACTGCCCAGTGCCATATGTGGAATGCTTAAATCGGCTGTTAGACCCCATAAATTTTGTCCCAATCTATTAATTTTGAATGTTAAAACTTTTTGTCTTAATTAGGAAACATCACTTGGAACAATATTATATTATAGCTCGAGCATCACAAATTAAGAATTATTACTGTTGTATGCATTTAATATTTGAAGTTAAACACAAAATTGTCACTGCTCAAACAATTTTGAAACTGTATTTCATTTTGTAGGCAAAATCGCTTTCCACCTGTGTCATGGTGGGCTCGTGTATAGAAACTGACTTATGTAAAGTTCATTATGACTTAACTGTCAGTGATTAAAGTTGCTGTATATGTACACAATTTACATTAATATAAGGTTTGGATTGGTGATAATAAAAATGATAAGTATGTCCTAGTCTCTGATCTGTTTGTTTTAGAGTACTTGTACTCATTATAAAATCAACATTATCTTCTGAGAAAATAAAAATTAACTGATACAGTTTTGTGGTAGGCTTGAATATTTCTGAAGTGAATTCTGATATGAACATTTTTGTTATGAATCATGTTTAGGACAGATTCATTTGTGCACATTGCTGTCTAAGATGAGAATCTCCATACTTTAGCAGCTGTTGTTATGAGCTCCTTAACATTATTTATGTTTCCTTGTTTAATAAGAAAAATTGTTTAAATTTTTTCTGCTAGGCTCATCAAATTTAATTTTAAGATGAGCATCAATTCATGGTTTTTATCAAAATAAGAATGTTATATTAGTTCCTGTTATTGTCACACTTAATCATATAGAAAAATGTTTTAGATATAGTTAGGTTTTGTTAGGTACAACCAACAGAACCAAATAATTCAATTGTTCACCCCTATATAAAGCTACATATTTGTTAATAACAGTTTTATAATATTTCTCAAAGTCAAAACATATTTTCTTTTAAAATGACAAAATTTTATTATGAAAACATTGTATTATTTAGCCATATATTAAGTGCTAATAAACAAAAAAATATATGAATAGGTGCTAAAATTTGATTTAAAAGTCCAGTTCTTTCCTATTTTTAACCAGGACCTTAAATAATAGTTAAAACTTTTAATATGTCATCAGATGATTGCCAGATCTTGTTTAAAATATTAGTAAATTTGACCTTTCATGTGCCAAAATGCCCCAAGAAGTATGTTGGCTATCTTGCTACTGTAGGCTTAAGGAAAAAAAAACCCTAATGAAACAGTGTATTTTGGTAAGTCACCGTTAGAAGATGATTCTTGTTGCAAAGTTTAGTGAGGAACTCTGTTTACATGTATGAATATTTGTTGATTACATTGCAATTTGTATTATATGTTGGGATGAGAAGTTTAATAAAGACATTGTTGCACAGAGTAGAGAAACCCCAAGTACATGATCTGTTGATGTATTATACCAAATGTTAACATGTCTTTCTGAATCTCACCTTAATGTGAGATAAACATTATGAGCTGAAGGTAAAGTTTGATAAATGGACAATTTTGAATGTATAAGAGATAGAGTAAGACAATTAACTCAATTAGTTGTTTACCTAGGGGTATTCAATTACATAGTGTCACATAAAATAACCAGTTAACAAAGATATGATTACATTGATTAATATTACAAAAATAATCAATTATTTGAAAGTAGTGATTCCAATTATTACTGTTTTCAATTAATTCAAGTAATCAAAATATTGCCATTATGATTTCTCATTATTATTTTAAATTAATTCAAGGTTGTTTAAGTTTAATTTGTGTCATGACTCACAAAAATAATCAACTAAATAAAATTAGTGTTTCTGGTTACTATTATTTTCAAATATTCCAACTAACCAAGTCTCATGATGATAATTAAATTAGTTGAATGTAATCAATTAGTGAGCTTATTGATTAACTAAAAATTTCTAATGTATGTTTTTAATTTGGTGAATTATCATACACATACATGTACTGTTAGCTATTAAGGATAATTGTGTAAATATTTTTATCTGATTTTTATTTTCTCTCTCGTTTAAAATTAACTATTTGTAATGCGTAAATGTTCCTCATCTACGATAATCATATATAATGCTTAAGAGTATCATTTCTCTTATTTACATGTGCAGGTAAATGCTTTTCTTCCATTATGTATTTATTGTAACTTGTCTCAACTGTTTGAAAATACTTTCATAGTGATACTCTTTCAAGCACATTGTTGGAGATTAATAAAAACATGGTTTATATAAGCCCATTGGCCCTTAACATGTTACTTGTTTCCAGTAAGACTTATTTATTAAATTAGTAATGCAAATATAAAGGAACACATATTTCTTCTTACCTAATAAGATATACTTAGCTTCAAATATATTATCTGGTATTTCTAGGTGTCTGAAACCCCAGACTTTTGCTGACTGCTCAGGAGATGAGTTACCATATGGTTGGGAACAATGTTATGATCCAAGTATAGGCTACTATTATGTTGATCATATTACTCGTAAGTAAATAACTTGGCTTTTACATAAAATTGTTTTTAAAAGTCAAGGTTATTATTGAATATTGTCTCACAGACATAAAAATGTTAAATTTGGATACTAAATTGAAAAGAAATGCTACAGCATACATTGTAAAGTAAATTGGCAGAAAATGGTGTTGCATATGTGTGTGTTTGTGTGTATATGTAAATATGTTTATCTCTACTCCTGTTATTTCTGTATCATAATTTTTGTGACAGATATAATGTAATGGAATCTTGATCGTATTACTTCTTGATTTATTGTGGCTGAGATAAAAATTTCACTCAGCTGATTGAAATGTTTTGAACAGCTGTTAAGACAAAATAGATTTTCTGAAATTCACAGGAAACATTCAGGAAAAAAAGAAAATGGGGTGTGCTATGTTATTAAGACTGTGATTATTGTAGATATGTACATGTCTAAGAACTATTATTCATTAGATATTTGCATTCCTGATTGAAGAACTGAAGGCAATGTTGTTAGTTTTTGTTGTTGTATAACTGTTTTTGAATATTTAAAATCACAAAAGAGCCCCCTTTGTTACATATTGTGTTACCAAAGAAAATTTGGAACATTTTTAAGTGTAACAAATTGAATATTTTAATTGCAGCTAAGGTAAAACTGTACATGTGCTTATTTAGAAGAAAGTGTTACTAAATTCTCTGTGGTACTGGTTTGTGTATTTTCATTAATGTTTTATGTAATCCATTCTACAAAAACAATCCTCTTAACTGCTTGGGAAAATGTTGAAGAGCATGTTAGGTATAGTAAATGTATATTTTATAAAGAAGGTTAAGCATGTTATATGAAAACAATTTTATAGCCTCATCGTGTCTATATTGTCCATATAACCACATCTAGTCATGCTTCATCTGATTACTGTGCATCTTGACGATAGCCATACAGTGTAGTATCCATTGCAAAAGGCTTCAGCATAAGGCTTTCATGTCCAAAGCATGCCTTTCCTCCCAGAATCCCTTTTCATAATCTATCTACTGGTTTACCATCACCATTTCAACAGTCTGATTGCAGCATCCAGCGATGATCATGAATCCCTGTATGAAAGTTTTATTATATATTGTGACTACTTTTGTAAATTTTCTTTCACCCATTGACAGGTATAAAATGGGAAGAGGCTTGTTACAATTTTCAAGTTGCACGTGTAGTTCAAGTGTCACCACAAACTGCCATTTTTCCCTGGTTAGGTACCATTCATATCCTTTTCTATAGTTGATCTTCCTTTCATGGATCTGTCACGGAAGCAAATTTTGTATACAGGACTTGTGTTTTTGATTATGTTCTTTACTATTGCCTAGTACAAGTGGACATCTTTTGCCACTGACCTTTGTGTTCGTGGATTCTCACCTGTTACAGAATGTCACAGCTGGGATAAGACTTGTTGCAAATCTCTTTCTAGAGTGACCTCATTTCCCAACTTGATTTATATTCCTTTAGTTTCCAAGAGCTGTTACATGATCTTCTCAAAAGAAATTAGTTTTCAATAACATTACGCTGCCTATGAAATGTCAAATGTAGTTCTGATACAACCAATTCCATTGCAACTTTATAATGACTGTGGTTATCACGTGACTTGCTGATTTGTTTTTTCATAATTATTTAATATAATGTACTTAACTCTCTATAATATGCATCCAAACAGGGAACTTTCATTACTAGTTCTTCATATTTCAATGCAAAAAGTAATCATGGAAAGTAATATGTTTTTTTCCCCAGATTTTTCTAATGTGTGATGTTTTCAGTCTTCTGAATTTAAGATATCATTGTCACAGTTAATTTGTTTAAAAAAAAAAGTTAGTAAATGAACATTTTATATAGATCCAGTATGTATAGGAAAATATCCAAAGTAAGAAAATTTTCATATGAAGTGTTTGCTATGATTATATGCATACTTTTACATATATAAATATACATATGCACATGTCAGTGTTTTTATTTTAAAAGAAAGTTTATCACTTAGTACTGTCACATCAACAAATTTTTATGAAACTACATTTTGTCCCCACTTTTACACATTTGTAATTTTCTAATGGATTTTCTAAGTATAGTGTAGATATTACATGTTGATCTTACACAAAACATAAAAAAAGTTTTCAGTGAGTTTAAGCTGATTTCCTTTGCTTTGTTAACTTAATTGTAATGTTATAGTTTAGAACAGTAATTCCCAACCTTTTTCATTCCACAGACAAGCAAATGCATTGTAAAAAGCACATGGACCATTAGCAGTGTATAGGTCTGTAGTCAGACTGTGCAGGGTTGCTAGGTTATACTTTAACCCGATATGTTAAGAATTTCACATTCAGTTTCTTTCGTAGCACATGATTTCATAGCCAGACGTTCATTACTTTACTATGTCAGCATATTATTTGGACACATACTAACCACCAGGACAACAGGTGTCACCCTTTACATATGGACCTGAAGTCTTTCTCCATCTGTAATATTGTTTCCTAAGTTAGCTTCTTCAAGAACTCACAACTTTCACTGGACTTTTTTTTTATTGATTTTTTTGGAAACCACTTGTTAAGACCATTTTTTTCATACATAATACTGTTTACTGTTAGAATCCAACCAGCTTGAAGACCCAAGACATCAGTGGCGTCAGTTGCAAGAAGCAATGCTTAAAGAATACCTTGTTTCTGCTCAGGAGGAACTAACAGTAAGCTTTCTATGCTACTTCCTTGTTAGTTATTAGAGTGTCTAAGAAGATACTTTTGGATAGAAGTCACAAGTATTTTGAACATTTCTTATAACTGATGATTGCCAAAGAAATCATCATATTAAATATGGAGGAAATTTATCACATTTTCAACAACAAAAAATCTCCCATTGCCAGGTTTATTTTAAGGTACACAATAAGAAACAAGAATGTGCATATTAATATTTTGTTACTTATCTGAAATTTTATACTGGTGAACTTTGGTAAATTTGAAGGAGAATACCCTTTCTTCATTATAGTACAAAATTAATATTACTCTTTTCAAGGCTGAAACTTGATTAAAAATAGTGTGTCCTATATATACCCATGGACTGTAAGTGGACTTATAAATGCACATGGCTGTGAAAGAGTTAATAAGACTTTTGTTATGAAAAATATGTCTTTGACATCTGTATATTCTTTGTAGACTTAACTTTTTTTTTCTGTACTTAATTTAGTAAACCCTTAAACATCTCATGTCCAAACACAACTAGTTGTTGTTTTTTTTTCATGAGCTCACATGAAGTATAAATTACGTTTATTACAGTAAAATAGGATGAATAAATGTGTGTTAACACCATTAGCATTAAGTAGGTTAAATAATATTCCATTATTTGTCATTCTTTTAGATTCTTAATACCTTCTAAAATACTGGAGATTTCAAATTCTTTTTCCTAGATTTTAGCACAAGTCATATTTCAGTCAAAATTTAACAAACTCAACTTCAATAGCTAGAATTACATGTTTAAATAAAACAGAAAATGTTCCATTGAATTGTATAAAATAATAGCAGACACAATTTACATATATTTCTTAATTACAATATAATTAAACAACAACAAAAATATTAATCTTGTTAATGTTCTAGTATTGAAAAGTTGTTGGAGTAATTTTGATTGAAACCCTTCTTTACAATTTGACCTAGTCCAAGCAGGAAATATACAATGTCAAGCAACAGAGGTTGTCCCTAGCTCTTGATGATTTCCATCAGCTAAACAGTACTGTAGAAGGGCTAAGTACTTGCCCATCCAGTAGTAGTCTGTGCTCCACTGGATCAGCTGCTTCTTCTAGTAGTAGTGCCATCAAATATGACCCAGATCTTCTGAAAATTGATGTGGCTGTGGCACGAGAACGTGTTGAACGACTAAAACAAGAACTTGATCAAATTCGCACAGAGATGCACTATAAAGAACAGGGTCTGGAAGCTTTGTCTCGGTAAATATTGACTAATTTTTGCTAGTAATGAGTTTTTTTTTGTAATTCACAGCTAATTTAGTTCGATAATATTGAATTTTTTTATCTTATGTTATTGTCACATTAAAATTTTAAACATAACTCTGAAAAAATATCATGTCTTTGTGCATATTTTCAACTTCTCAGAAAAAAAGTTACTGAAGAAGGAGCCTAATATTATGTTAGATGTTATTTGTTATTTTCTGCACAGTAAAAAAAGAGGGTTTTCTGAACAAAATATGTTTCTATTTTACAAAACATAAGGAGGTTTCTGCATTTTTTTTTTTATAAAGGTGAAGCTATAGCTTAGACCTACTTTCATTAATGTTATACTTTTTCAATTTTGGTGTGAAAATGTGCTAAAGAAATAAGTAAAAAGTTTTGTATTGAAATGTAATTACATTATTTTAAAAAATCAAATAAGTTGTTTAATTATCATTAATTTCAATTTTTGAGATAAATTAAATTATATTGAATTCATTGATAATGTTTTTCTTAAATACAAAATGAACCATTGTTTTACAGTTATTTCAAATCTTGTTATGAATCAACAAAAGATTTCTAACATAAATTTTTTAAGTGAAAAAGTTGATAAACTTGTGGTTTAAAAAAGATGGAAATGGCTCGGCTCCTCAATATCTCGGTCATAGAGCAATGGTCCTGTTAGCCAGAGGACCTGGGTTCAAGCCCCAGCCCTGTAGTGTCTCACTTATTCGGTTTTTTACACAAAAAATTGTGTTAGGTTGTTCTATAGTAAAATTAAATATTCAAATCAAAGCTGGCTTTTAGCTGTTGAATAAGCAAAAATTGTAGATTTGTTTTTGTTTGCCCCTCCTTTCGATACAAATTGTGGGCAGAGCACAAATAGCTCTTTGTGTAGCTTTGTGCTTAATAATTAACATCAACATGGTTTTGTTTATACAATTTTACATTTTTCATATCAGAAAAAGTAAGGTATCTAGTTTTTTGTCTAGATTTACCATTAGTTATTTTCATCCTTTTAATTTGGTAGAAGTTTTAATATGAAACATTTATTCACTTCATGCTATAAATCCTAGTAATAGTCTCAAATATTTTTTCAATACTAAAGAGTATAAAGGGTTGCTATAAATAAAATCTACACTACCAAATCATCAAAATCAAAATTCATATGAAGCTCAGTTGACCAATATTTCTTATCATTAACCAAGATGACTAAGGATAATTGATATCACTTGAAATTGCAGTTTTTGTCTGGTCATAGTATAAGATTTTATGATCCTCTATTGGTAAGTATGTTTCATACCAGAAGCAGGAATTACATTTTTTCATAATTTCAGAGTGGAACAACAGTTTTCTGGTCAAAGTGTTGTTTATACCTTAGAAGAAGCTCAGGCGGTTATGGAAGAAATTCAGAATGTTCAAAAATCATTAAGAACTGGTAGAAAAGAAAAGGCAGAGTTAATAGAGGTAAAAATTTTGGTAAAGAATAGTTTCTCTTTAATTTTTAGTCTCGACATTTCAGCATGCTATGTGTATAATATTTTGAGTTTTTTTTAATTTTAAATACTGCTTTCCAGATTGTTTACTTGTACATGTTTAGCTGCTCAGAAATCAATTAGGAAAGAAAATGTGTGAGAAGAAGCCTGTACGCTAATAGTTGTTGCATGTCACATAAATGTATTTATTCATGTTCATTTCTATCAGTTCCAAATACAGTTAATATATTTGTTGCTGGTTGGAAATATATTTGCTTAACTTTTTAATTTTGTGTGAGTTGTTTGATTTTTAATGTATTAGTTGTTTCAGGGTCCTAGAAACTGTATTATATTAAAAAATATATTATATCTTTCTATTGATATAAAAAAATTACAAAATGTGGAAAAAAATAAAATTAGAACCTCAGTTTTAACACTATTGTGTTATCTTACCAATGGTTATTGGTCTATACAACATATTAATTGTATTGTGTTTTAATTTTTTGGCTAATAAAATATAATGTCTTTTTATTTCTGGTTTTATAACATTTTTCAATCAATGTTACACATTGTAGTCATAAGATCTTGAGTGAATTGTTTTATTATCTTTTCAAATTAAGTTGCCTAGTATTTCTGAACCTACAAACAAATAGTTAGTCTTTATAATGGAAAAATAATTATGTTTATAGTTTCAGCCATACAACCTATAAGACTCAAAAAGAAAGTCATTTGCCCAATATGTTGATATCAGAGGATTTTTTTCTTTAAAGCAATTTTAACCATTTCTTTTATCATGATGTAGCTGCATTTGTTTGTTATTCAAGTCACACATAGTATGTGTTTTGTAAATTCTATATTATTGATTGATCAGATAAGATGTATACTTAACTGACCAATGCTATGATTTTTCTTTATATTTTATGGTACATACTGTGTAGTTTGTTTTCTCTAAGCAAGTGTATGTTCTTCATCAAAAAATTCTAAATCGGTCTTTAAGAGCCAACCAGCAACAGAAAGGTTAAATAGAAGAGCATGATAAATTTGTAACATTAATCCTTATAATTTCGTTTTTAAATTAGCCTGTAAAAGTCCTGTACTTAAAAAAAACTTTCCCAGAAAGCATGTTTTAAAATTACAGAACTTAGCAAGATTAAAGGATGATTTAATATGTCTGCACCCTACCCCAGCTGATGATCCAACCTTGTGTAATCCAGTGGAGAAACTAAGCATTGCTTCCCAAACTGAACTCTCAGGAGAGGTAGTTGATTAAATTTTTGTTATTAATTTCAGAAATCCTTTATATTCTGTGACACATATGACATTGCATATTTCTCACTGTTATTCTGAATTGCTTTTTATACTTTTATGAATTTTTTTGTTTTTTTTATTTTTTGGTGTTTATACATAAGAAAATTCTAGTATGGGTCCAGTTACCTTTTTCTACAGAAAAAAAGAATTTACAAGCACATAAAGGACACCGTCACACATTGTAATATGGCATGCTTGTTTTTTGTAATAATATGTAAATAATAGCATCTGTAGTTGTAGTGAATACCACATTTAACACACCCAACATATTATTGTTTATGTACTGATTCCATTGTTATGTGTAATTGTCATAATTTATACACTTATTACCAATTTAAGCACTTTGTATATCAATATTTCATTCAATAGAATTGCAGGTAGTGAGAATTGTTACTATAGTTTTATATTTAGATTATCAAAGATTATTAGCTGTTAGCATATTTACTCTGTTACCAAGACAAATAGATCATTTTATTACCCAATATTTAGCTCATTTTTCATTCATTTTTGTAATTATGATGTTTACTGATTTTTCTTCTTTATTGAGTTGACTTGTTTGCTTTATGATAAGGTTTTTCTCAAGATTGTGTTTTGAAGGTGAAAAATTAGTTTAAGCTGCAACATGCATTGTGATATCTTTCAGAGAGAATTTTTTACATTGTACGTAAAACAATTGCAATAGTATTTTTAAAATGTTTTCAAAGAATAGTATATATATGTCACCTTTTTTTAATGTTATCCATTAAAGAAAATTGTCTTTTCTTTGAATTAGGAGTGAAAAGTATTTTTCATAAGAACTTTTTCATTTGGATTTTTATTTCTGTATGCTAAATTTCTGTTCTCTAATTATTTTCTTGAAACATTTGGTATCACAGACAAGATGTCATCTGGTTTCAGTGAATCGTGTACCTTTTAGAAAGCATCGGTTATCACACTTTAAATAAAATTGTATTTGCTACATCAGATATGATAATCAGAAAACTATAGTTTTTGCTACATCCGTCCTTATAATTGAAGTTTTTCATGATGTAGGTTATCACATCTGAAATATGTATGTTTTGGCTTGTCACTTCTAGTTGTAACACCAAAGAAACGTTTTTTACTCTTTTTAATGGACAATGGTATATGCCCTGAAAAAATAATATTTCAAGTAGTTACATGGTTAAAGTTGTTTATGACTTTTTGCTAAAAATAAAAATTATTTTGTTCTAGTATGCTCATCTTGGTGCTCGGCTAGCAGAAATGGCTCGTATGAGGCTTCAGTATGATGAGATGCGTAAGGTAATACACCGTATACAGCAGGAACTGGCTGATCTGGAGGACATGATGTCACCTGGACAAGTGGAGTCAGATAAAGATAGGTAAGATTTTGAAGTATATTGATATTATCTATATCTCTATACATTTCTTCCCTATTTCTTCATAACCTGCTAAACAGAGTATTGCTCCTTTCTGTGAATTTAAGATTGTACCTGAGGATTGGATATTAAAGTATGAAACTTGGTATGTGGATGTGTATTAAATCTAGAAGCTTGTTATTGATTAGTGAAATTACATCATATTTTTTTCAGCACGGGCTCAGTCCCTGGGACTAACCTCATAACCATCTTTTGCTTGTTATAGTTTTCATGCTATAACTTTTAAATTAGTATTTGAATGTTATCAAAATTTGGCAGATTATCAGTAAACATTACAATGCTTTCATATGCAAAATGTCAATTTTTTTATTAAGTCTTAAGGTTTGTAAAGCAATGTTTTTCTTGTTTTTTTTTTTTTTTTTTTTTTTT